CTCTTTATACCACAGATTTGATTATAACTCTCATCTGATATCCCACAAAGAAATATATTTTGTTTAAATTTAAGGTATGGAGGTTACTAGAAGTAGAGATTTGAATAGCCAAATGATGACTTTTAACTGCAGTGTAATCAAATAACAGTATAGGCTGTGTATTAGTGGTAGACTTATAAGAAAAGTAACAAAAGGTCTGAAGAATGTGTTCTGATGAAATTAATGAGATTCTTGGTATAAAACAGGCATGCTAATAGTCTCTAGAAATGTTGTGGTGTAATGGTTACCACTGTTTTTTTTTTTCCAATAGGGCATTAGTTACACTTTCATTAATATGCATTGCACACAGCAAATAATTTTTAAGAATGGAAAGAATGCAGAACATATTGGCAAGAACAGTATCGTGAGATGGAGTTTGTATTCGGTGTAAGGGGTCGAAGATACAACAAGTAATAATTAATAGGTTTTTTGTAGTGGATTTCTTCAGTGGTGAGAGAATGGTCAGTGGTAGGTGATGGAGACTGTAGGCTGTTGTTAGCTATCAGTTTAAAAATTTTAATTGAATATTTGGTGACTTTTTAATTAATTGCTTAAAATGTCAGAAGACGGTAAGAGAGAAAAAGGAGGACAGGCTGTCTCACTAAACACATGGGATTCACATTCTGTAATGCATTAGGGGCTTGTCAGTATTTTTTCTGTATTAGACCTTACGCTACCACATATTCATTAAGCATTGTATTAAAGCAGTTTTACGTTGCTACTGATTGATACTGAATTTATTATTGTAAGCAAATGACGTCACTGTTTTGTATTGACAAATGCATCGTCAAGTTTAGTTGCTGACTCAGCTTCCATATCTTATTCCTAATAAAAATTACAGTTCTTCCATATATTGAAGTAAGTATTACAGTCGGTACATCTGTCTCACATAACCGCTTTCTGTCTTGTACGTCTTATCTGACCATCTCACAGTGAGTAATAAAGAATTAGCTTAAAATCAAATTAGGTCAGCAGAACTGGTGCTGACTTGCATTCAGGAGATACTTTGAATACCATCTAGGGACTGACTAGTATTTAACTGTTCAAGATCTTCCTCGGACTGTTAAAGTAAATGTTTTGAGAGTATTTTAACCTTTTCACTGCCATGCATGACATTTTTTTGTAAATACCACACTTAAGGTTAAACTAAAACATGGTGCAGTTACTTTCTTCTAAATCTCAACCACCTCCTTCGTGTAGACGGATTTAATTTGATGCAAAATTTTGAATATAGTACATGAACTTGTTAGCCTTTCATTGAAATTTTAAAAGGCATGATAGTTCACAGTTGTAAGCAGGGCTGTGGAGTCGGTACTAAAACCTCCGACTCCTTCATAAAAGCTCAATATGTATTAATAATGGGAAACCTATTAAAATGGTAAATGGTACCACGAGATTTCATCATCACCACGTTAATCATCAGGCTACTTTTTAGACTTATAACCCATATTTAAGTATACGTCTAATGGTTTTGCAGAAATCGTTTGATTTGTAGACAGTTTATATTCTTAAGGTACCGGAGCCAAAGTTACAAAGCATTATTCCCACACCCTGTGGCTCAACGTGTCGTTGAATCGCCCTAAGCGTTAGGCCGCTGGCAGCTCACATGGTAGTAAAAGTGTTCTTAAGACTTTATATGAGAGTCAGAGCCAGTACATTTTTACTGACTCTGACTCCTACTCCACCTAAAATTGCTTCTGACTCCAACTCCGACTCCACAGCCGTGGTTGTAAGGTGCATTCACTGATAAACTGGAATGTAACTGTCTCTTCCTGGCTGCTGTGAGGAACTGCATGACTCACTCCTAAACACTACAAGTTTTCCCAATCTGAGGCAAATATTGCTTCATAAAAACAATGTAATTGACTCACACATTTCCAGGTTTGTTGGGAAATATATTTTCCCAGATAATTTAAATCCTAGATAATCTGAAAAAACCAAAACCAAAAAAAACACGCAAATGTAACAAATACGTAAGTTAATTTACAGTCATACACTACTTAAATTTTTGAAGATTTGCTAATAACAGAAAGAATTTTTTATAAAATTTAATACAGTACATATCAAGTATTTTAAAAAAAGATTAGAATGAATAGTAATAACGTTCTATTGTCATAAACTTCAGGTTTTGACAACATTAATTGATATTAACATGTTAAATAATATATCATTGTTATATTCATTCATTTCTTTTTAAATGTTATAACTTTTACAACAGATTTTCTAAATTAAATTTTTTAAACCCTGTTAATCCACAACCTGGTTAATCTGCCCATGGATAATCAGGAGTCTACTGTAAAATCAACTTACCTATCTTATAATAAGTGCTGAAAATTGTGTCCGTATGATAGTTGTGTTTTAGTTTATCAGTGAATGCACTTTATTAATAGTTGTGGGCATGTGCGTAACAGTAAAGTATGTTTTGTTGAGTCAGCAATTAAGTCTGATGAATCTGTGAATATGAAATTCATGCCCTGCCGTATGAAATTCAGTAGGACGCGTTAAGTCTGAGTGTTATGCTGCTGAATTCAGCATATTAACCTAATGCAGTACTAATGATTAAATTAATTGGCAAATACAGTACAATGTGATAAACTTGTTATTATATGAATAACACTAAATTTGTATTGCCTGCTTATGGCATAATCTGTTGGAATTTTTAATGAAAAAAAAAAGTTCTTTGCCTAGTTGACAAAATCCAGTTGCTTCTGAACACTGTTTCTGCAGCCATTAATTAAATTCACAATATATAAATTGTATTTGAAAACCTACTTGCTGTGTCGTGTTTAAATTACCTGTAGTAAGTGACTGCTAGTTAAGGGACTGTTAACTTTAATGAGACATATTTTGTTCTTAATTTTGACATGTGTAATATATTGAGTTTTAGAATTGATGGAATTAATCCTCTGACTTGGGGACAGAGCTGTTCTGCCACTTATACAGAGTGCTGTAATATCACTTTTTATTTTAGAAATTCACTTTAATGAAAAAGAGGTGTGATGTAAAATTACTGTGTTGGAAAGGTAAGGGGAAAAACATATTTGAACATAAAAGGATGATATTCTGTCAAAATTCTGACTGTAATGTGTAAACTAGTAGTGATCATGGCAAAACAAAGCAATTGCATCATTAAATGAAGACCCGCATTTGCTGTTTCTTGAGGATTCGGAGTTCTACTGCTTTTACATTTATAGTTTGAAACTTGGAACTTATCCGATAGCACGCTTACCTAATTTCCTGGTGAAAATAGTGTCATATCCTTTGTGTGATTATTATTATTGTTGTTTTTGGGGTATTTATGACACACATTTTGGCCATTAGTCTTTGTACATACTGTATGACAATTCTGTGTATAAGATATTTAATTATTTTAATTCTTTAAAGGACTGTTTGGACATGTTTTGTTAGTGATATGTTTGAAATGAATCAAGAACAATAGAATGAATCAGTGTGCACGATAAGAAACTTGAGGTAGTTATGGGTAACTTGATAATTTGCAGAATTCAAGAATTTTATTATGGCGTAAAGTCATAAATGGGATTACAAAAATAATATAGACAAATCAAACATGTTAATTCTTAACCAGTACAAATATATTATTGTAGGATGTATTCCTAACAATAAAGCTGAATGTTTTGGGTGCCACGACTACTTTGGATTGAGGAGCGTCTCAGCTCAGAGACTGAATGTATGCAGACTGAATCAGTCTGTGGTTTTTCACAGTTGCTTAAGGGAAATGCAGAGATAAGTCAACCATGATACAGGATAGTCCCAAGGTATTAAATAGGTATTTTAAATCCAAAGGCTCAACACTTAAAACACAAGAGCCACTGTAGGACCCTTCTTAATGAGTCCAATCCAGTTATCCTCCCATCTATAACTTTTTTCCCCAATATTTTCTTTCCAGGAGCTTTTTCTCTCAGAATTTGTATGCATTTCGTGCTTTCCTCATGTAGTTTTCTCTTTACTCTCGTTCAGCCCTTCTGTGTTTCGTTATTCTCATTTTGTCTTCGAATTTCTTTGGTCTTTGAATTTACTTAATGTAAGAGACCATGTTTTGCAGCCATACAAAAGAGTGATTAAAATAGTGTTGTAAAATATGCCATTATTGCACCATCCTTCCATTCTTGCTGTTCATAATCCTTTTTCTCATTTGGTTTTACGTAGAATCTGCATTTGACACAGCATTGTTAAATAACTGCACAGGTAATAATACTTTTATATGAGTTGTGGCAATCAAGTTCCCGGAATGTCGCATATTATATTTTGCATCGAGTAGCGAATGAGCAGTAACTAAGCAGTAGCATGTTATGACGTGTCGGTGTTTGCAGTTTGTGTCTTGGTAAGGCAAATAAGGCAGTAGTAGCGAGTTACACAGTTGTCCCAGCAGAAAAATTAGCGATAGGTTGTTTGGAACAATGCATTAACATCAAGTTTTGTGCAAAGTTAGGCAAAACCATGAGTGAAACTCTACAAATATCAACAGAGGCTTATGGTGCTGATGCTGTGATAAAGTCGAATGTCTTTGAGTGGCAGGAAATGTGAGGACAATGCTCATTTGTTTTTTTGGCCACATGGGCATTATTCACTTTGAGTTTGTTGAACAAGGTAGAACAGTGAACCAGCATTGCTATTTGGAAATATCGGCAAGGTTATGTGAGACTGTTCATTGCAGAAGACCTTAAACTTTGGTCATTTGCTGAGATCTTGCAACATGATAATGCCCCTGATCATGGTGTGCTTGGTGTCTGGGAGTTTTTGGGCGAAAATATCGATGCTGAAGTTGGACCGTCTGCCGTATTTGCCAGATTTAGCCCTGTGCGACTTTCAGCTATTAACAGAACTGAAGTCTGCTTAGTAGGGCCACAGATTTTTAGACATTGCCGACATCCAGAGAGCTGTGACGTCCATCTTGAAGAGCATTCCAGAAGAGGATTTCTT